ATGCTAATTATCAATAAAATAAACTTTATATATTATATATAATTGAACATTTTATTAGTCTTTTAAATATTAAAACATTTTAAATAATTTATTTAAATATAAAAATAAAATAAATATTTCAATAATAAACAATTAATAAATTAATTACAATATAATGAATATTTGTTGGAGTAATGTATTACCGGTAATAGTAATGACAATTAGTTTCTAAGATATGCAACAGTAGTGGCAAAGGGAGGCCGGGATTCCGGGCAAACACTGACACCCGAAGCGTTGCGACCGAAATATGTTTCCCTCCTCTGCTTTCTTCCGCACTTTCTCTGCATTTCAATAGACATTCAGTGATAAGTATTTGTGACGACAAATGCAAGACAAGAGTGACTGACCGGCAATTTCTTTCCTATTGATGGCAATGAGGGCGTCGTAGAGCTCGTTGAATGGGTTCTTAGAGGGGGGCAGTGAGTGGAGCCATATAATCATCATCCGATAGCTATGCTCCTTATAGCTGGTCTTTCCAGTGTACTGGTGTTCAATGGCTTCGCACAACAATTACCGCTCATATTCAGTACAAATCATATGAATAAACAAATCAAAATCGATGATACCTTTGATCTGTTCGTCAGTAAAGTCCCAAAAACGAGCCAATCTTTTCCAGTCATTCATTTCTAAGTGATTTCGTGATAAATTCCACAGAATTTTCTTCAATTGATTTAATGATATGTTTTGATTGATTTCGTGTTCGCAATGGTTAATGGAGTCGATGTCATTGCAATCGTCCGATTCAAACGTCTCTTTGCGTGCGTTTCGTACGAATCCATCTTTGGTTGGCTTAATTGATTTAATGATATGTTTTGATTGATTTCGTGTTCGCAATGGTTAATGGAGTCGATGTCATTGCAATCGTCCGATTCAAACGTCTCTTTGCGTGCGTTTCGTACGAATCCATCTTTGGTTGGCTTAAACCTAAATGTCTTCTCCCTCTCAGCCCTAATCAACATATCGACGATCGCCTGAAAACTTCCTCTGGAGGCCACGTAAAGGGCAGTCCTTCCGCTCTAATCAACGCTTGGATTATTGATTCACAACTTCCAAGAATATAATCCAATTTCTTACATACCTTTTCCTGCACCTGTAGATCAGCTCCGTTTCTGATCAGCACTTCAGCCACTTCTGTATGCCCTAACTCTGCCGATACCACTAATGGTGTCTGATTTCGCTACAATCATATTTATAGTATATTATTGATTCACTGAATCTGATTTTGATCATGTTTATATTTTTAAACTAATCAATGAATGACATAAACAATCAAAGTAAAATTTATAAATACTTACATTATTTAGTGAATCTATTTCTGCCCCCTTTTCTATCAGAAATTGTGTCATTCTGTGTATTCATGGTAAAATAAACATACAAATTATATATGAATCATATTTTAAACATATTTTAATTTAATAAAACATTTTAAATCAATTTAATCATACTACTTTATCGTGTAATTTTAATTTATTCATTAATAAAAATTTATATTAAATGGTTTCATGCACTACAGAGTAGGGCTAAAAATATTAACTTTAGAATAAAATATGATTAATTTTTAATACATAAAAATATTTATGTTTAAAAAACAAAAAAGACTATTTAATATTTGATATTTGTATTACAAAGTAATTTCAAATAAAGTCGTTTGTGAAGAGTCTAATAATTAGACTCTAATTTATAGTCTTGCTTTAGATTTGATTAATTTAATTTTTGAGAATTAGATAACGAAATAAGATAATAAAGAATAAGAAAATAGTGTTCAACTCACTTAACATGATTTCCCACAACACATAAGTGAAGGGCTGTAAAGACATTGACTCTATAATTGAATTATCTTTTGCGAGCAATTGCTATACAGTATTACCGGTGTTTCCGTTCTTATCTTTACTGTTGAGAACAGCTCCGTATGAGACCAGAAGGGCGACCACATCGACATAGCCCAGGGCTGCACCGATCATTAGGGCTGACCGTCCTTTCTATTGGCAAGTTATTCATATAAATATGAGTCAATAATTTAATTCATCACAAACTCCATGTTTTATGCCTTCCACTCATCTCATCTTCAAATAAGATTCCTTAAGAAAGCACTCAAAACATAGGAATATAATATACTATAAAAATAACATTTATTGGACTTCACAGCAAAATAAATATTCTATAAAAACCTTATTTAATATGTGATATAATCTTTAACATTTAATATTGTATAAACTACAGAATATACAGAATATACACTGCAGTAAAGTATGACCAAAGGAGAGACATAAGAGACAACTTTTCTAAACTCATATACAGTGCAGTCATGTATTCTATATATAAGAATGAAATCAGATGATTCTCCTTGCTTAGTGCTTAGCAATATATATTATATTCAGTGATATTTATATTTTGCTCATTGAATTGCCAACATATTAAATTCAATATAAAACTGCTATAGTATCGGTCTCAAAATATTTTCACTCTGGCTACTATGAGTTTCTTTATATAATTTGATAGATATTATGCAACATTCAATTTCCAAATCCGATCAAAACTTATTACATAAGATATCTTATTGTTTAAATTCATTGTATAAGAGAGAACAGTAAAGTGACATAACTTCTTATGACATAGAGTAAATAAAATGTAACTTATTATTATTATTATTATATTATATACAGTATAAAATAAACAAATATTTACCGAATCAGTTGCAAAAATATCACAGTTATGTTGTATCAATGTATTTGAAGCATCTTTGAAGCCATATTCAGCCGCCAAATGGAGGGCTAAATAAAAATTATTTATTTATTTAAAATAATTTATACTAAAAATATAAATGTTAAAATTAAAAACCTTATCAGATGTTTATTTTATTTACTAAATACTGCATTAAAATTATTCAAATAAGCAATAATGCAGTTTAGAGAAATGTTCGAGGTGATCTTTGATGTTAATATTCTGAACAAGGTTGAAGTTACAATATTTTATTCATTTAAGTTAAATAAATAAGTTACTACACCATTGAAATTACAGTATAATATTTTGCATACTAAAATAAGCCGTATTGATCCAAAAATTTTAGTCAAAAAATAAGAATAGTGTATTATACAGATTATGTAGAATTTTAAAATCTAACCATTCTAAACTATCGCATATCAATTTTAACTTTTTATATAGTTAGCAATGCATATCGTTTAGAATTTTAATAAAGTATACAAAGATTTAGAATTTAAATATTTCACAATATTTAAACTAATTGTCAATAGTTTTGTAAAACTTTTGAATTAAAGAATCAATTGGGATGCTATTTAAAATGATATGCTTTCTCATAACATATTAGTTAGATATAAGCCGTGCTGACACTTACCAGTCTTGCCATCGCCATCCCTGTCGTCGATCTCAATGCCAGCTTTGATGAGAGCCGTGAGTATCTCGTCGTGTCCTTTGAATGCCGCCCAATGACCAGCACTTCTCCCTTGCTATACATCATTGAGAGCACAGATTGCGTTCAGTTATAGAGTGTATCATTCATTGGGTACACAATTCATATGAATAAATAGCTGTACTTTATCTTTAATATTGAGTTCAGCTCCGCATGAAATGAGTTTTTGCACGATTTCCAGGTTGTTATTAATTGATGCCATTTGTAAGCTTTCATCAAATCAAATACAATATTATTTCATTTTTATGACTCTTAATAAACGCTTAAGCAATCAATACCTCGTTTGACCCAACTTTATGCAATCGCAAAGCAAAGCAAACATATTTTTCATAAAAAGCACATTTATGTTACTAAATTCATCAAAATAAGTCAGTTTCTAATGGACTCACTTTGTCAATTGCATTAATGTCCAGGTCCTCAACATTTTCGAGTAAATACATAGTAATGTCTGTTTGGTCATGTTTTACAGCACAATGCAAAACATTGTAGTGTTTCTAATATCATTAAATCATTATATATTTTGTCAGAATTAATTGATTAAAAAATATAAATTGATTATAAATACTTTATTAACAGCTCTACAGTTACATCCGGCCTCCACTAGCAACTGGACCATTTGAAGATTGCCTACCATTGCTGCCATCAGTATAGGTCTCATTCCCAGCTATTTGAACATTATTGTCAATTAATGCAAATTAATTTCGTTACATAATTTCATGAATCAATACTGATAATAATTATTAAATTATTATTCAAAATAATTTTCAATTCATTAGAATTTATAAGTTTGGAAAGGGTTGTCAAATTAGTAGACAATTTCATAAGCTCTCACGTGTCCCTTAAGACTTCATTAAAATTAAAATTAGAAATTCATCATATATTTGATGAAATAAATAATTATTGCTTTTTATTCTTTATTCCTAAAGAATCTGAAGGCATATCTTAATTATATTGGTACACTGCCATAGTATAATGTAATGTAGTACTAGATTATTTATACAGAATAAATAATCTAAATTATTAATAATATGACTAAATTTCATCCATTCAATAATGTCATCGTATTTAACATTTATTGTAATTTATATTACAAACAATTCCTTAATAGTTCTTTTGTTTGGTGCTATAATATATCTGATTATAAAAGCTTGAAAACTATTAATAAATAATCAGATTCTCTATTATTAATAAATACAATACTTTAAATAAGAAGTTTCAAAGGATAGGAATTATTGATTGCCTTATCTGTGGCCTCGATATCACATTTTGCTTGAATTAAAAGTGAAACTATTTCGACGTTTTGATGACAAATAGCCCAATGAATTGGTGTCCTTTCCATCTGAAAAATGTCTTAATAGTTATAAATGATTTGCTGCAAAATGAGTTGTAAATTGTTTGGTCTCTCACATGAGTTTTGCTGTTTATATCAACTCTGGAATCGATGAGCCGTTTGAAAGTAATTAAATCGTTTTTGATGGCCGACTCGTGTAGTAATAGTTCCGGTCGAACGGCAACTGAATTTGTAATTTAAAACTTACATTACTTTTTGTCATTTATTAAATTCATTTCTAATCTATTAAGAAGTTCATTATTTTCCAAGTTATCATGCAATTGATACCATTCTTATAGAGGCATGCAAATTACCGTCAATGCATGTTATTTGAAATCATTGAGTGCTTAAATAAAGCCTTAATTAAACTAAAGAATAAATACTATTAATAAATGATAGGATTTCATGCACTCATATGATTGAGTTCGCAATCAATTGAATGAATTCAAACCTTTAGTGAACTGTTGGCTCAATTGAACGGACATTATATCGGATTCTTGAGCTCTACTGGATGTTAAGGACAACCGTTTGGATTTATCGGTGGAATTGCTGATACTCTCATCCATATTGAACACAGTTTTGGTTTAGTTTAGGCATCGACTGTGAATCAAAACAGCATCTGATGTGTGACATTGTGTTCAACTCGTACTCAACACTGCTTTCCGACTCAAACACAACTAAGATTGGGATGCGATCAATAAATTGAGAGAAACAGGGATATAGTGAATGAACCCAACACTGCTTCTACTCACAGTCCATTCACACACCACACATACCTTAACCACGCATACCTTACACACCAATCAATACAACGGTAAATAAAAACTTTTTATTTTCTATATATTTTTTGTGTTAATTTGTTAATTGAATATAAAATTATTTTAAAACATTAATTAATAAATATTAATTAAGAGATGATATAAGACTAGGTCTTCTCGAACAGACTATCTTCTTCCTCGTAGTCATCGGCCATCAGTTCAGACATCTTCTCGAAAGTAATGGAAGAATTGGTCGACACTTTCTGGTATTCATTGAGTTTATGGTCGGCTCTGTGCGAGCGATCGCTGTACTGCAGGACTGAGAATATGATTGCAAACAAAACTACGGCCGACAAACAGATGGTGAATATGATGGGAACGGGGTTTTGGAAGAGTGTCGACAATTTGCTGCCATTTCTTATGCGCTTATTATTGGGTAATAAATCTGAATCAACAGAAACACTTCGCGTCCGATCAATAGCTACTGATGACAGACAAACACTTCCAGAAGACACACAATAACAACAATCGTTGAGTTCTTGTGTCACTCCTTTAATGTCGTTTAAATCTAACGGACAACAGGAGACACACCGAGAGTTGTCCAAAGCGTATGGAGTTCTACAGGAAAGGCAATCGCTAGCTGTGGGACCACTACATGCGGAACAACTCATATGACATGATTCGCACTTTGATGTCTTCGCGTCCAAGAACTGTCCGCTCAGACAATTCAGACAAAGACCATCACTAGTGAGTGTTGAGTTGCGGAAACAAGACGCGCAGTCTTTATGTGAGGGTCCGCTGCAGGACATACACGTCTCGTCACACCTAAACATCAATGGAAATAGGGTTCAAATTAAATAAATTAAGAATATTCTGTTATCCATTATATCAGGGAATAGTATTAACTTGTATTACAGTAATGGTACTTTAAATAAAGCAAAATATTTAAATAAATACAAACCTTCGACACTGAATGTCATCACTATTTGATTCGTAATAAAAATCGGGACATTTGTGGTCAATACAAGTGCTGTTAAAAAGTTTGCGACCGGAAGAACAAGAAAGGCATTGATTGTCAGCACTTCCATAACAAGAGGCACAAGAATTTCACTATTTGATTCGTAATAAAAATCGGGACATTTGTGGTCAATACAAGTGCTGTTAAAAAGTTTGCGACCGGAAGAACAAGAAAGGCATTGATTGTCAGCACTTCCATAACAAGAGGCACAAGAATTATGACATTTATAACAATTGGAGTCAATAGTAGAATCACATTTAGGAATGCATTTGTGTTTATCGTTCAGATTAAGAAATTTCTTGCAGGAAATGCAATGATTTGGCGAAGAATCACATGATTCACAGTTTGAAGAACAGGGAAGACATTCATTGAGTTTAGAGTCATTGTAGTAGCCGTCCGGACATTGTTTGATACAATGATAGCCAAAGAATAGTTTGTTTGGAGGACAAGACAGACAATTATCACCAGTCGGTCCAAAACATGTCTGACAATCAGAACTACATCTCTCACAGACAGCCAATTGATGGTTAGGCCACTGTCCGGACGGACATGTTTTGAGGCAATCGGTTGAGTCTAAGGCTTGAAACGACCCATTCTTAGAACATTCGCTCATTTTGTCAGATGTGGCGCTTCGAGGGATGTAATGAATGGTTTGATTGGGTGTAAAGTGGTAACTGTGCGGCCGATCGTATGTGCCGTAGAACGTGAGAGACCACGAAATCAATTTGCCGGCTGATCGGGCCGGAGATCTACTGTCGTTTTGAACGATCAGTTTCCACGTCCCGACCGCTGGTTCTCCCCAAAAGTGCACCGAAAGGAAGGGCCAGTTAGTGAACGACGATTCATCGGTATCTCGCGGTCGCGCGAATAGTAAATGGGTTATCGTTCCCGACGGAGAGATTAGTGATATCTTGAGACTCCCGCGCGGTTTATACTTCAGAGTAATCTTTGCCTGAATGTGCTCTAAATAATTCACTTCATTGGATGAGTCCCGACACGCTTCGGTCGTCAGCGAGACTTCCAAATGCCGTTTCGGATGAACCGGAATCTCCTGTTCGGTGTCTTCAGTATGAGTCTCGCAGATGCGTTGAGTGGGAGTCGGCGTCCAGTTCTCGGCGAAGCGAACCATTTGTGTGGCGTCGATGAGTCCGTAACCAAACTTATGACTAACTCTTCTCCCGACGCCGTTTGTAATCCAACCGCTTTCGTGACGCAACGGCTCGTAACGGGACGACAGGAGCACTAAATGCTGCAAATCTCTCCACGTTAGCAATGGATTAGCTTCTAATGCCAGCGCCACGATTGCCGCCGCTATTCAAACAAAATTTGATAAATTATTTCATATTAAACTAAACATTAAGTTCTAATATACCGATGGGAGCAGAGGCTGAAGTGCCCGTATGGGAACGGGTGCATAATCTGGAAGTGTCAGGAGTACCACCATTTTCTAGACTTTTAAAGTAAGTCATATCCTGATCCACACTCAATATATTGTCGTCTCGACCAGGAGTACCGCTGCTGTAAGTGGTGGCCAAAGTGGATGAGCACTGCAATGATTGGATAATATTAATAAATAGTTGCCAACAATTATACGGTAGTAATAACACTGACTTCTTCTAAATACCAGGGCTTTTGACCGTTTTGTGTGGCACTGCTTATGGAGAGCGTGTAAATGGAGTTTGTATAGCCATCACAATTGCAGTTATCAAGACGTCGGCCTCCATTCCCTATTCATAGATAATAATAATTATTAGCTATTGTTATTAAAACAAATGGTAATTATTGTAAACCTGAAGCCCATATAAATACAGATCCGCGTCCGTGACGTCCCTTTCGAATGCCATCAATAAAGGCTGAAACCATTGAAACGATTACAGTATTGCAATCCAAGTATATATTAGTTTAAACTTAATATTATTTTCTCACAAATATAACAGACCTCTCTGTGCTAGTCTTCCGGGGCCGTCAACAGTCTTGCCATCATCTTCTGGACCCCACGAAGCAGAATATATGTCGATGTGATTGGGATTCATACTCAGTGCTCGCGCCTCCACCTCATCAGTCACTGTAAAAGTTGTTTATTTTAATTGACAACTCATTTAATAAAGATGTCCAATGGACTGACCCGTTCCGTCTAACATACGAACGCCACCAATGCTTGCGTTGAATGCAATGCCAACCCCACAGTAGTCTAATTTAATAGATTTAAACGTTTCACAATAATGTTCACTACATATTTAAATACCAGGGCTTTTGACCGTTTTGTGTGGCACTGCTTATGGAGAGCGTGTAAATGGAGTTTGTATAGCCATCACAATTGCAGTTATCAAGACGTCGGCCTCCATTCCCTATTCATAGATAATAATAATTGTTAGCTATTGTTATTAAAACAAATGGTAATTATTGTAAACCTGAAGCCCATATAAATACAGATCCGCGTCCGTGACGTCCCTTTCGAATGCCATCAATAAAGGCTGAAACCATTGAATCCAAGTATATATTAGTTTAAACTTAATATTATTTTCAGACAAATATAACAGACCTCTCTGTGCTAGTCTTCCGGGGCCGTCAACAGTCTTGCCATCATCTTCTGGACCCCACGAAGCAGAATATATGTCGATGTGATTGGGATTCATACTGAGCGCTCGCGCCTCCACCTCATCAGTCACTGTAAAAGTTTTGTATATTTTAATTGACAATTAATTTAATAAAGATTTCCATGGACTGACCCGTTCCGTCTAACATACGAACGCCACCAATGCTTGCGTTGAATGCAATGCCAACCCCACAGTAGTCTAATTTAATAGATTTAAACGTTTCACAATAATGTTCACTACATATTTAAATGCCAGTTAATATATACCGTTATATGCCTGGGCAGCCACCTCTCCAGCGCATCGGGTGCCGTGTCTTATAAGTGAATTAAATTAGTGAACATTCATTCAATTAAACCAATAAAGTTTGTCTCACTTGTTGTCACCATTGTCTTGGGGTGTGGGGTCGGGATCATTATCGTTGATATCATAACTAGCCTGAGGGTCCTGTCCACACAATTATTGTTATTTAGAATAAGCTTATATTCCAACAAAAGTGTACAGGTATAATATATCGCAATATTAATAATGACTCACATAGTTATTGGCTAAATCTGGATGATTCGGTTGAATGCCGTCGTCCAGTATAGTGACGACAACACCCCTCCCGGAGTAACCCCTGTGTTAACAAATGTAAATGAAATAAAGAGATAATAGTGCAAAAAGGGCTGAGTGTCGTACATATTCCAGGCGCCCTTCACGTTCATATCATATCCTCCGAGCGCTCCTTTATTCTGAAAATATTGAATTAAAGCTGAGACTAGACTTCAGATTTGATTGTTTTGCACAAACAACAGGAAATGAATTGACAATCAAAACATTGAGTTTGCAAATTATACCATTAATCTGACATCACATGCATATGCATTCAATTTTTCAAATTGATTTTTATAATATTTAGATAATACAGTGTATATTAAATTGAAATAAAGCCTTGAATTAGAGCACAACTTTTTTAAAAATCTATTAATACTTTCGTATGATTTAAATTGCAATTATTCATCAAAATTAAAGCGATTATAGGAAATAAAATATAATCATTTTGATCTCATTTTAATAACAAAAGTTAACAACAAATTAAATAAGAAATTCCGAAAACAATCATCTCTTAAACAAATAATATATTCTTAAATTAATCTTGCCTAATTATTTCAGTTTTACTATTCATATTAGTGAATGTAATGTCAGTATTGAAACGCTTGAAAGACGACAATAATTGAGAAGTTATTAGTTATTAACATCTTTTAGAGATAACTTCATTGAAATAAATGAAATATAAATTAGTTTTCATGTTAACTAAATATATGCACTGATTAACTACAGATTACGAGCTACTATACACTGTTCAGAAATTAATTAAGCTTTTAGTTAATTATAATTAGATTTACTACTGTTAGACAGAAAAAATAAATTTCAAGAAATCTAAACAAAAATAAGTTTATTTCTAAAGAAAAATTGATAATATTTTGCATTAAAGCGTCTCTGAAACTAAGGTTTTATTAGTGAATATGAGCTCAAGAATAAAGACATAAATTAGTGGGCGATTGACAATGAAATGGATTGTCGTAAACATATCAACAAAGAGTGGTATTGAGCGTCAAGAACAGGTTGGAAAGACTCACCAAATACCACATGTCTTTGTAGAGCGGGTCTGGCATTGGTTTGTTGGCGAACCTGTACTCCGAATTGGGGTTATCTCTCTTCACTCGTCTCTTCATGTGTTGCTGTTCTGCCCATAAGACCTGTCCATTCAATCATCATATGAGACATAAATGAGACAAATCTATACATTCATGCATTTCCAACAAACATATTGTCATTTCTATACAAATATTCAAACATTTCATACGACAAGTCATACAAAATGAGTGAACATTTGTATGCACTGTAAGAGCCATATGTTGTGATGGCTTACAGTGGATGCAAATATCATGAGATAACACTCACATCCCTGTCCTCACTGAGCACCGAATGGTGTGAATGCGAGTAATCAACGGATCTCTTGGAGATGCCATCGTGTCTTAATATGTAGTGGCAATCAATGGATCCGACCTATGGTTAATACAATGGGTCACATGAATACATGGATACATTGGCACAGATAGGCATCCATTCAATACCTGTCCAACTAATTGAAAGCCGTGTCTTTGGGCCAAAGACTGTGCGTCCGAATGAAGACATTTGTGGTCTTTAAGAGAGACCGCGAACTCATTGGTGAAGACCTTTGGTTCACATTTCACAGCATTTATACTAATTGTCAATATTATTAAAACTATAAACAATTTATTTAATGATAATGTCTTTGATTGAATGACAAATGCATTGAAATCACAGATAAACACATGAAATAGAGTATAAATAAGTGATAAATGGTTTGTTGGAGTGGATGAATGAGCCATTGATATGATATATTGGATCAACTGATGGTGTGATGGTAGCCAATCACTCACTGGATTAAGCACTGGATTAAGCACTCAATTCAACACTATTGCACGCAATCACACAATAATAATGATTACAATTCAATAAATAAATAAATAAAACATTTCGTAATAAATATGTTAATTATTATTGAAATGTATAACAAAAACAAAAATTGAGTTTTAATTCAATTTGAATACGAAATTCAAGTGAATATTGTTTGCATGAGTAGTGAATAGAGTTGTGCTGTTTGTGTGCATACAATACAAGTGATGCCTGAAACTGATGGTTGCATTCATAGCATTCATATGAAACAAGTGCTCAAAACATAGCAAAACATAGGCATTACATATGATGTCAACGTATCAATGCATATGTCATATGACGTCAACCAATACACACAACCAATCATTCATTCATTTGACATCCAATTCACGATTATTTCTATTTAATACTTACTGTACATTGTGTTCATTGAACAATACTTATAATCACTTAATACTCATTTTTGAACATTTGTTTTATAATTATTACACAACTAATGGCTTCTAAGCTTATAATAATAATATAGTTATAGTCTTACAGTACAAGTTAGATCCCTTTCCACGCCAATACCTCTACCTTTAATCGACCGAAATATACAGTATTAGACTATTGTACAGTAGCTTTGAAATCGCAATCACTGATCAGTGAAATTAAAAGCATTTCTCATATATTGTATTCACTTAACTGTCATTTAAATTGAAATTTATGCTAAATTACTATCATTTCAATAACTCTTAAGAACCGACTATTTGTTGAGACATAACTTTACATTAAATATTATATACCATTAAACTATTTAGACATTACTGTAAATACAAGTGTTTGAGCACAGAATCCTTATAGACTTATGCTATGAATAAAAAGTTTGCAAATGACATGAGATTCTCATTTTTAAAGCAAAAAAGTTGTTTAAAATACAAAACACACTATTTTGTCGTTTTTATACTAAATTCTTTGAGTTCATCGATAAGTGTCAGTGTTTTCTGTGTTGAGAATACAGTAATACTGTATATTAGTGACGATAGACTGTTACTATCGATGAACTTTTAATTCATTTTCAAAACCCAAAAGTATTTAGAATTGAATTTCTAAACACTTTATTTTACTCCATATTTTGTTGATTACTATTTTGAATGCTATGAGAATTATTGAAATGCTAATTATTGACATAATATCCACACTTTTTAAGCAAAAGTAGACTAATAGTTGTAAAATAAATAAAGAATACTTTTTTGGATTTAGATTATAGTGTTTTCTATTCTCAATTTAGGGTCACATTTCACATTTAAAACATACAAATCTGTGGCTAATTTTTTACTTGATTTTGCAATCATTGAAGTTATAAGTTATTTTTGAAACTTTGTTTTTAATATGTATTTTGAATTTGAAATACTTTTATTTTTTATATAAGAATTTAAACTTTATATAATAAATTAATTTATAAAATATAAGCTTCACGTATATGATTTAAAAAAATAATTTTTATTGAGATTTCCGGAAAATAGACTTACGGTACAATTAATTTATATGGTAACAACAATTTCATTTATTATACTGTAAAACACAAATATTGTGATGAGATTTGAATCATTGCAAACATACCAATATTTCCAGATTGATTATAAACAAATAAATTTATCGATTGGTATAATAATATTTGTATATAAAAGTATCATTGCACTAAATTCTATAATATAACTGTAATCTTCATATAACAAATATACTGTAAATGTAATACCGTATAAATATAAAACAATAGATCTTACAAACAAGTTGTGGCCATAGTTAGTGACCCTTCAAATTTTGAATTTCTATATTTCTAACTTTACGTTCATTGCACACAAATGGCTGTTTATTAAGGATAAAATAAATAATCTCTATCATAACATAAAACAATTTATTGACTCTTTTTGTTGAGTTGTTTCTCTTGAGAGCACTTTCTTATAATAGACTCGCATTTCTTAAGAAATACAATGCCAGCGATTCTGAACAAACCCATTGTCATTACCTGCATAATAGACTCGAGTGTCGATGCGATGGGACTCATACCACAACACAATGTCCTAACCATCCAACTCTCAAAGCCAACAGTCGACTGAAATTTACCAGACTTTTCAACCAAAACAATTCAATATTCAATACTGTGATCACTGATAAGCAAAACTATGGTAATAGCAATCACTTACAAGCGCGTCAACCAACGTATGTTTGGCCACAATGTCTGGAGAGTACAGTCCGCCCGCGTCTGATATCAGCTTTGTTTCTATGGGCTGTTAAACGTGTCATTATAATAATGGCTACAAATCACATCAAGTAATCAAAGGGACAATACTTTTGAGATATTTTCGTTTTCATAGCCGGGAGTGTCGGTGTCGGGCGGGTAGGACACGCACACAGATATGTTGTGTGTCTTCAACTGTTAATTCAACAAATCCATTGACTCATGAGTTCGTGAATGAGATAACAGTTCATTAATTACCTCCATTGCCAACACTTGTGCCAAACCGACGACTGCAAACTTGGACGGAGAGTACGCGGAATACCCGTACAAACCAAACAAACCGGCGATCGATGAGAACAGCACTATATGTCCGCCGTTTCCGCTCGACTTCATGGACGGCAGACAAGCCTTAATCACATTAACGGTTCCCAAATAGTTTATGTCAACCTATTGGATACAATGGCTATCAAAGAGTTTGTTTGGATTATTCTTCAGTCGTTATACCATTCTCTTGAACTCAGAAATGGGTGTCTCTTCGAAGCGAAGGCTGACAGCAGTTCCGGCGCAACAGATCAACACATCGATTGGTCCGCTAATGGCTTCCGCTTCAGTCACCGTCTTCTCCATATCGTAGTAATCAGAGGTGACGTCCAGAGCAAAGGTCAACACTTTCTGCTTGAGCTCATTGGAGCACTTCTTAAGCAAAGACATCTTAGTCTTCTCGAGGTCGTCGGCATTCCTGGCGATGATCGACACATTGGCGCCGCTCGAGATGGACAACACGGCCAGAGACAGACCGATGCCTTTGGTCCCGCCGGTGATCAACACGTGCTTCCCCTTCAAGTCCAACGACTTGTTTGAATGCAAATACTTGTAGACAATGGCAGCGATGGCTATCAACACAACCAACATATAGACCAACATTGCGTCCAATGAAATGAAAACCAATTCAACACTGATTTGTAAATCAAATTACATTTGAGTTTCAAAACTCAACTCAACTTTCAATTGTAAACATTGCGCTCACTCTCAATAAACAACGTTACGTTCAACTCATTCAATGTCATCAGTGAACCAGAAATGCATTCATTGAACAGTTGTTCACTGTCTGAGTGGCAGTGATTGTCACCTATTACCTGATTAACCACAACAATTACCATCAAATTGTAGTATTGGATACTTACACGACAATATACCTGATTGGTGATCCATGGGGTATCATATGCTCAACTATGACCTCTACCTGACACTAATACTAAACGGGGATGTTTGATAGGAAACTATTATTTTAAAAATTAAAATACAATTTAATTCTGTTTCACATAATTATGCATAGATTTCAAAGATTGTACTCAAATGTAAAGACCGCATAATTGTCACATCAAAACAGAATAGAATTTAAGTTATAATAAAATAATATTAATATTAAATTACATAATATTTGATTGAATACACAATTATAATTCAATGATTGATATCTCGAAAATAAATTTAAAGTCCATTTTGAACTCAAATTATCATTAAATCATTAATTCATTGAGTGATGACTCGAAACAGCGCTTGAGTTCGGCGAATGAAACGATGAGAATATTCTGTTCATCGCGTGAGACGAGACATACCTTCTCGGGTGAGCCGACGTCCAGTTTGTTGAGATTGGAGACAATATGTCCCAAATCAAGCCACGGATGGCCGTCATCTGCCAACTGATGGAATAAGTAATCTCTGAAGAGTTTGAGGAGATAACGGTCACCCGTCTCGGACCAGTTGGGGTCCAACTGGAGTTCGGGCCTCTCGTTGATGGTTCCGAATTTGACGAGCAGTCGGAGGACCCGTCCGTTGTCCAGTTCCTTCTGGAGGTCGTCGTGGAGGGAGTCGTCCCTCTGGTAGAGAGAGTCGAGTTGTGTGTAGAAACGCGCGCCAATCATAGGCATGATATCATTGATGGTATGCGTTGTACCGGAACTGCTGTTATACGAGAGTAAGTAATAAATCAAAGATCGCAAGTCTGGCGAATAGGACCGCGAGATCAGGTCTAACGATGTCTGCCAACTGTCGCGCTGTGCGGCCGACGAGATGTTGTTTGTGGACAACACGAGACAGAGTTTGCCGAACGCTAACAGGTCTTCCTGTTGGAAGTGTTGGGCCAATACTTTCGGGTTATTTGTGTTGAGAAATGAGTCGTTAGTGAAGACATCGAAAACTCCACAACCGCTGAGTCGAAGGCGCGGATAATCCTGAGAATTGTTAGCACCGGTACTCCCACTGCCAGATGTGATGATGATTTTGGTTGGATCTAATGCTCGACACGACAGACCTGAGGAGTGAATGGCTCGCAATGCCGACGATATCTGGATAATGAAGTTCCAAATCAAGGGCTCCGGTAGTAGTTTGCGTTGACTTTGCTGTTGACTGTATGGTCGCGAAGACGTCGAATAGCCGTTCATTGAATTCGAAGAACTGGATGTATTGGAAGAGTGCGAGAAGTAATGACTCATCAGAGTGTTGGCCATCGAGTGGTAGTCGTAGACAAAGATCAATGAGTTATCGCCGAACGCTTTGGTGGTAAACACTTGTCTCAATTGGACGACATTCGAGTGGAACAACTTCTTCCACGACTCGATGGCTGCTATCATCTGTTTAGCGTTGGATGAGTTGGGCTGAAACGAGTGCAGACGTCTTAAGCAGAAGTGCTCACCGTTTTTGCTGTTCGTCGCTCTGAAGACACTGCATATCATGTCATTGAATGTCGTCGAAGGGCTCGATATGGAGGCCTCGAGTGGCACCAAATCGTGGTATACGTCCACCACTTGAGGCAACTCTAAGTACATGTCATTGGAAGCCATCTCTTGCGTCACATTCAGCTTTCGGATCAACTCTTGTCGGATGGCGTCAGTCATGAAGTAATTGGGAATCAATTGTTGTGTCGTTTGCTGCAGTTGTGCGACGATTGGCGCAGAACTCGATGAATGAGTATTGGATGAAGTGATGCCTTTGCGACCGATCCGAGTGTTGTGTGAATCGATGGTCAGAGCATTGAGTGGCAGTGAAGACATGGATGACTCGTTCGGGTAATAAGAGTTGCCATTATTGCCATTGTTTTGATGCATATATGTCTGCAGTCGCGACTCGGAGGGCAAGTGTGTGGACGCGTCCATCTGTGGCGGCAGTGAAGACCGGGACGCAGAGTGGTTCTGATTGTGGTTCTGGTGGTGACCCGACTGGTGACCCGATGGGTGGCCGGACTGGTTGTGCCAGAACTGACAGTCACTGCCATAGAAGCAAATGCCATCCGAAGCGAAGTAGCGACAGATACTGGTCTTCTTCGTCGACCCATTCATGGCATTCATTTGAGTCGACAAATCCATTCAATCCTTTAACTAATGCACGATCGGATCAATTGGTCACTCGATGGTCGACACAGTCCTCAACTGAGAGACAATCGACATATGTTTCACTCATTCAATCGATTATTGTTTTGTGTTTTGTGTCAAAACGAGTCCAAAAGGCATCGCTCTATACGTCACTCAATCACACACTCATGAAACGAGAGCTCACAACCAGTTATAGAGTGTCGCCTCACATACACTCCACTCACAGCCAATACAGTCAGTCAGACATACAATAGCTTTCACTTCACTATTGCTTCAATCAATGCATCCATTCATTAGCTCTCACTTACACTCGACTCTCGGTTTACAACACAACACTTATCAATGAATTTATAATTTACACAATACTTGACTCAATTGAATGGTTTTGTTGGGCACAGGCTGAGCACTAAATCAAGTGACCAGTCTCAATTTGCTATCATTGAAGTAGTCATTTGACATTTGCTAATACAGTATTTGATCTCATTTAGCAAGGTGATCGAGCGCAAAATCAAATTACTGTTATAACTTATAACTACGATTTTATTTGAATACTATAAAAGCTACTAGGTAAAGCTAAAATTGACTAGGTACAATATATCTCATATATCATACAAGTTAATATATCTAAAGTCAAGTTTGGTCTGATTAAGGTCCATGAGTGTTAGTATAGTTTACTACCGTATTGAGTTGATAATGTGAGACTGACCAAGGCAACTTACTTGTTGGACATAATCTACTCTGTAATCTGTGAATTGTCTACATTGGCTACAATACAGTATAATTATAATATCACTAATGATAGCAATTACAATATTAGTGAAACTGTTAAAAGTCACGTTTAAATGATTATATGTTTCAATAACAAGTTGTGTATTAATTGTTTGATTGGCAATTTTGCTATCATTGAAGTAGTCATTTGACATTTGCTAATACAGTATTTGATCTCATTTAGCAAGGTGATCGAGCGCAAAATCAAATTACTGTTATAACTTATAACTACGATTTTATTTGAATACTATACAAGCCATGATATTGACTAGGTACAATATATCTCATATATCATACAAGTTCATATATCTAAAGTAAAGTTTGGTCTGATTAAGGTCCATGAGTGTTAGTATAGTTTACTACCGTATTGAGTTGATAATGTGAGACTGACCAAGGCAACTTACTTGTTGGACATAATCTACAATACAGTATAATTATAATATCACTAATGATAGCAATTACAATATTAGTGAAACTGTTAAAAGTCACGTTTAAATGATTATATGTTTCAATAACAAGTTGTGTATTAATTGTTTGATTGGCAATACATTTATTAATAATAGAGATATTGAGATGTGATGTCAAATAAGAAGACATTGCATTGAATTGAATAAATATGTTGACAATCAATGTTTTGTCAAAATACAGGACTTAACATGTGATGCAATCATTTGATAACTACTAGAGTGAGAGTGCGGTACAGATGTGAGTCCTGTCTCATCCTTACCCATCACTATCATAGACTACAACTTGTGTCACCCATTGGCTCTCGTGTCCATCAATTTGTCAATTGAGTTGACATTCAATTCAAGACAATTAATGCTGAGTTTATAAATGATTTTCAAGTGTGGTATAAATCTAACAAGTGTGGTTGAGTGCACCTTGCAATTTCTATAAATACAACCCATTTGTATTTAATCAGTTGTTATTAAATAATTTAAAAAACTGCTTAAACTTTAAATGATTAAAAGATATGAATACTGTACTAGTACAGTATATTTCGAAATGATAAAATAGTAAACAACATAATACTTCATTTAATTTAATTCAATTTATTTTATGAATCCATTTGTATTGAAATACAGTTTAATTGAAATTTATATAAATTATAATTAATATAAAATAAAGATTAAAACCATATTTTAGTTGTTTTGCAAGAATTTAAGGCGAATTCTGATATAAAATATGATTGATTTAGACAATCATTATTTGATTGAATAAAACGGAATGTCTTAGAAATTATGACCGTAAATACCGGTACTGTATTAATATAAGAAATACTTTATGCCTGAAAAATGCCCAAAAAATGTGATTACAAATTAAAATTCATGAAATTCCATGTTTTAGTTTTGTATACATTATATCAATGGATACTATTTACAAAAACTATTTGCTTAAAACAAAACATTAAGTGAACAAAACAAATGTTAAGTAAATTTATGCAATGATCTGATGACGGAAAACATATTTATATTAAATTTAATTGAGATTTCAATTCATTGATCACTATATATACCGATATATTGAAAATACATTCAAATGAATAATAAAATACAAAATAAAATCTAAAGACATACAAAATGTATGACAATTTCAGTTTATACTACAGTTCATAAGATATAATGAAGTTTTTTCGTATTAGCAGTGAATTCAAAGAATTCGGAAATTTATTGCATAAAGTAATCAATCGTTCATTCGGTGAATGTGTTAAACATCGATAACTCCTCAAATGAAGTCGGCTCTGACTGTCCCAACATTTGAAGCATATCTGACAACTCTTGTGGTTGATGTGGGCCTCCTGTGCCATGATTTCCAGCCGAAGCATTGCCGTGAGTGGAGGGATGGCTAACAACAGAGGCCGATGTTGTGGGCGCTTCAGGCCCGGCGTTATTATGCCACTGACCCCACATTCCTATTGACAAACACAATACTAGTCATACACTGCTGTGTCTCAAGAAAAATCTACAAATTTTACTGACCCCTTGATCCCGGAGCAGAGTTCAATTGTGTATAAGTGGGTCCCGAAGGACTTCGAGAGGGAGGACTTATTTGGTTATAAGCGGCAACGCTTTGATTGTAGGCCTCAGGCTTTCAGATTAAAATTTGGGGTTAATTTTCTCGTTTTACACATAATATATATTAATTGAATGGAAAGTGGTTTCATTTATTGGGAAACTTACTCGATTCAAATGTCTTGGAGTCCAAGTGCTTTGTGGTGGAGAAGTAGATGTACCCGAAGTCCCAGTTTTGTTCATCTGTTGTGAGTGTGGGTTTCGGAGCAGAGTTCAATTGTGTATAAGTGGGTCCCGAAGGACTTCGAGAGGGAGGACTTATTTGGTTATAAGCGGCAACGCTTTGATTGTAGGCCTCAGGCTTTCAGATTAAAATTTGGGGTTAATTTGGGTTTAAAATGGAAAGTGGTTTCATTTATTGGGAAACTTACTCGATTCAAATGTCTTGGAGTCCAAGTGCTTTGTGGTGGAGAAGTAGATGTACCCGAAGTCCCAGTTTTGTTCATCTGTTGTGAGTGTGGGTT